CTTGTCAAGTTTCTTCAGAGGAGATATTCCATTGCCACCCTCCGAGGCTGAGAGGGTGTGACTTGACCAAGGTCACCCAGTGGGTTTTTTATGCTTGAGTGGGGAATTGAACCCTGGTCTCCAGTACCGTAGTCCAGTACTTAAACCACTATGTCATACTGGCTCTTGGTACAAGGCAAGCCTATCAAGGGGTTTTCTTGGCAAGAGTTGTCCAGAGGAGGTTTGCCATTTCCATCCTCTGAGGCTGAGAGAGTGCAGCTTGCCCAAGGTCACCCGGTGGGTTTCATGGGTGATATTGGCTTCAAAGATAGAGTTTGATGCAAAAAGTCTTATTGATCAATCTTCAATTGAAACCTGCACTTTTTCTGCTGGGAATGATGGGTAAACAACTGGAGAGGAGGAATGGAAGAATAATGCAATTTGTGACCATAGCTGCAAAGATGGTATATGCTCAGAAATGGAAGGAAAGAGGATTTATGCCCTACAAAAGAAGAATGGCTGTCTAAACGGAAGGATTTTGTAGAGATGAACAAATTGTCAGTTCTCATTCAAGAAAATTCATTAGCAAGATTTTGGGAAGACTGGAGATTGTTAATTGACTTTTTTAAAAAAAATAATGGTGATGGTTGTCTGTTTTGTTAATTAATATGAGTTAAATATAGAGATGCAGGGTAGTTATTAGGGAGAATAAAGAGGGGTGGAACCTATAAGGAATTTACCTGCAGATGAGACATCTTTTTTAAAAATATTGTTTTGTTAGCTGTCGTTTTTGTTGTTGGTTGTTTGATTATACAGATTGAGTCTTCCTTATTTGAAATGCTTGAGACCAGAAGCGTTTTGGATTTTGGATCTTTGTGGGTTGAGGGATTTCAGAATACCTGTGTTTGCATATATGCATATAATGCAGATGGGACCCAAGTCTAAAAACAACATTCAGTTATGCATAAACTTAGCCAGGAGGCAAATGTATACAATATTTTTAAATATTTTGTGCATAGAACAATTTTGGAATTCAAAATTTCGATAAATGAGACTCAACCCAAATAATAACAGTGGTCCCTATATATTTGCTGGAGTTGGGATGACAGACAGACCCCTGTGAACGTGTAAAAACCGCAAATAAAAAAAAACACTATTCTTTTTACTTGAGAGAACCCCTCTCTAGGAATCTCCAGGTCCTCCAGTGCAACTCTATGGTCAACGTCTGCCAGAAGTCGATCACAGAATCATGCCGGAGGACCTACAGATGCCTAGAGAGGCGTTTTCTCTAGGAATTTCTATATTCTCCCGCACAACTCTATGGTCAACTTCTGATAGAGTTACACTGGAAGACGTAGTAGAGGTTCCTAGAGAGGACATATTAATCAAAACCGCAAATAATAAAAGCTGCAAAAGTCAAAGCTGCAAATGTGGAGGGACGCTTGGCAACCCTATGTCCAGCTCAAGGATTCATGGGCGCATCCAGAGTATTACCGTAAAAAAGCCGTGCCCCTCTTAAACCCCTGTTTGTGCCAAGCAGGTGGCGGAGGGCTTTTCCGTGCGCCCGTCTGGTGCCCTCCTGCCTCTTCCACGAACGAGAGAGAAAATTAGGTCAAAGCCGTGCGGACGAGACGCCATCCCTTGGTAATCCCTAATCAGCTCTGACACCGTGCCGCCTGGGAATGTGGCACCAGCCTGCGATGCGCCTTAGGGGCTTGAGTTCGAGACACGGGGTAGATCCTGAATGCAGAGGGGCCTGTGATGGATAACCAGTCCCTTGCTATGTAGAAGGAAATCCCAGCAGCGGCTGAAGCGGGTCTAATGTCAGTGTGCCGTGGCGAATCCGCTTTGGGTTTTAGACCGAACATCCAATGTGATCTGGTAAGGGTAAGACATTGGATAATGGTCCAAAACATATTGCAGAAATAACCCAAACTGGGTTATTTCTGCAATATGTTTTGGACAACTGCCTGTAAAGTTTGGAGTGAACCCTGGAGTGGATTTCTGCCCCATTAACATGGAAGCTAGACTGGAGATTATTTTTCCATTATAAATAATCTTTATTACTCTCATTTCATAAAAGAGAACTAACATAAACATAACTAACATAACATAAACATAAACATTTAAACAATACATACAATTACAATACGTTACATGACACTAACAATACACATACACATACAACTACAGTCAAACCAACATCACTTCAAATTAAAATGAATTTCCTCGAGGCTATAACTAAGTTTTTTCTACATTAAATTAATGTCTCTAGTATTTTACTACAGAAAAAAATAGGCTGGAGATTTCTGTGAGAGACATAACTTGCCCTTTCATTTGGGAGGCAGAGGCCTGGAAGATTGGTGAGACGAATTCAAATCCTGGTTACCTGTGGTCTCATCATCTGCTAAAGGCCTGTGATCCAGGGTCAGCACTTACAGGATAACTGGTTTGCCATTTGCAATGGCTCTTTGGCCATGGTCCTTTGGTCAAAATGACCTTAATAGATTAAAAAGCTGCGCCAAAGTTAACAAAATGAATTTCAACACGGAGAAATGTAGGACATTACATTTGGGCTCTAAAAATTAAATACATAAATATAGATTGGGGGACACCTGGCTTAACAAGTCAACATGTGAAAGAGATCTAGGAGTCCTACTAGACGGCAAGTTGAACATGAGTCA